GGACAGACAACTCACCAGCAAGGGCTCGGGGCACGATAACCATGTGTAACACAGAGGTTGCATATGTTGGCTATGAGATCTGGAATTTGGTTCTAGCACTCTCAACACTACTGGATGGCTGCCACCCAAATCAAGTTATTTATTTAAATCTAGTTTGGTTGGAGAGATCTAGAACATTTGGAGAATTGGGCACCAAGTCACTGAGGATTTCTGACCTGCCTGCTTCAAAAGACATTGAGAATGGTAATTTCCTAATGTCTTCTCAATGAAATCTGATAAGCATGAAATTACATCAGTGACAAGCTAAAGCCTAGTTCTGGGAAAATGGCTTATTTCTAAGCCTCAATCCTCTCTCCTTCTCCAAATGTAAAGCTGTCACTAATTAAGTATTTGGGGCATACTAGCAAAAAGAAAAGAAACGCTTAGCCTGAGTGGGAACCAAATTCATACATGGTTTTTGCCAACACCAGTTATCCTGTTTACCTCTTCCCAAATTTCAAAAGCAACTCTGATCTGGCAAGCTTCAGATTTGCACAGAACATTAGAATTTCTCTGCTAGATGTCTCAACGGAATTACAAAGACCCCAGAGAATGGAAGACAGGTTTCAGAAGCTTGCAGCAGACTCAAATAATTTAAAAAGGCACCTCAAGTACAAACATTAACAAGAACTAAATGCGACGTAGCTTGTCCATGAACACAGATTTCTCAGGAGCCCTGAAACTCAGGGCTAACCAACTCCTGCAATTCACTTCTATCACTCAGCACCCGGAGCCCTCAAATAGGACCAGCAGTGCCAAACTACTAGGTTTCATGTAGTATTAATTAATATTAGTGACTACAAAGCTTTTGGCAAAGTCATTCCGCTCCTCTCTCATGATTGGAAGGCAGAATCAAGATTTTAAAATCTCAAAAGGCCTCAAGACTGGACCAAAACAAACAGGATAGCACTGAACAGAAACAAAAACCAACCAAACCAACCAACCAAAGACTCTCTCTCTCTCTCTCTCTCTCTCTCTCTCTCTCTCTCTCATATCTGCCAAACGAATGCAGGTGCAGGATGCAGGGACAAAAACCAACCAAACAAACCAAAAGACTTCCACTCAACTAAACACACCCCTGGCCAATGAAGGCCGGATGCAGCAGCTCACACAACAAATATCTGGGGGTTTTGACTATCCAGAACCTACACGAGTCTGGGCTGGGCGCTGCTTTCTAAAAAAAACAAAGCTTAAGCTGCAGAAAGTAGATGCTTATTCCTTAGTCTCAAGAAGCAGCTGTCCTACTGTACTCTGGGTTGAGCAGACCACATCTCAATTACCATATTCAATTCCAGACACTCATTACTGTCCATGAGATGCTGACAAACTGAGAAGACACCTAGAAATCATGTCCCATGCAGGACTGCGCGAATTGGGATTATTCTGCATTGAGAAAGTTAATTGGGGGGTGGGGGGGGACACACCATACTGTCTTTGTGCATTCAAAGGGCTATCCTATGGAAGGAACTGGGTAGTTCCAGAGGAATAGAATCCATGGAAACAAAGTTTCAAGGAAGCTTTCTTCAGCTCAAATAATAATCTCACACACATCCAAAGATATAATGACCTGCCTTCAAAAGTACAGCAGGTCCTTGAATAATGTCATTCCATTCAAAGTTGTTTCGTTATAATGTGTAGGAACTTAACACTTGTTTATATGGTAAAATAGGCTTTATTCTGTGTTGTTTACTTAAAGTGGCAGAACCTATGGAAGATGCTAAGTGAGGACACTTAACCAAGTTCCCTGTTCCTTGGGGACTTTAAACAGAGGCTGCCTAGCAACCGTAAAAAAGTACTAAAGTTAGATCAAGGCCTCTCTAGAATTCCGGGTCTGATTCTGTGACTCCCCACTTACCCAATATTATACTGTCCTGCTAGCTCATCTGCCATGATCTCTCAAAAATGCCCTTTTCTTATGACTAGGACTTGCCTAAATCCTTATAGTGTCAGGCCTGAGCACCGCAGAAGTCTCCTAGATTGGCTTCCTAACCTCAGTCACTGCCTTCACACGTCCAGAACCATCTCCTTCAAGGCCTATTCTGAGCCGTAACTTGGCTTCACAGTGGCCTTTATGTTCATTGTCTTGAGCAGGATTTCTCAACCCTGGCACAACTTACATTTCAGACAGGAAAACTCTTTGTTGTGGGGCAATAACCGGGGCACTGGAGGATGTTTAGCAGGATCCCTGGCCTCTACCCACACTAGATGTCAGTAGCACCTGCCTCCCAGTTATGACAAGCAAAAAGGTCTCCAGACGTTGCCAAATGTCTGCTGGGAGGCAAAACCAACTCCTGTGGAGAGCCACTCTTCTTGAGGCAAATGATTAACATCACTGTCTTGTGGTTCAAGTTTTCCACTAACTAGATTCCCTCTACCTTCCTTCATTAGTCATGGTCTCTGCTCTAGCCAGGCAAACCTATTTACTATTTTTGACCTCTGACAGACCTCAAAGTTTCCCCGAATGTGTGCTCCTTCCTGCTTCTCCCAGCACTTCCATCTGGCTCCAAACACCCTTTCCACATCAGTATTCCTTGGCCTCCTAGCCAAATGCAATTGTTCCCTTTTGGTGGTGTCCTCATGCGCACCTGTCTTATCTGCCCTCTATTTGTTCAAGAATCCTCTCCTTCCTTATTAAGGCCTCACAGCACCCACTCTGGTTCTCTGCTTACTGCTGGCACGCAATAAACACTGACTGCTGTTTCTCAGAACGTCAAACAGCAGCTCAATTATACATGAAAATACGTGAAATCCCTCACCAACTACCATTTCAAGAACAGATGTGATCATGAGTACAGTTTTGACAAAACTTTACTTTTTCATAGCTAGTGCCAACTCACCTACAGTACTGAGATGGAACCAAGTCTGATTTCCAAAAGATAGCGACCAAAACAATGTAGCTATTGGGACATGACAAAACATCAAAATGTTCTAAAATCAATCAAAAAAGCTCCATACAATATGAAACTTTAGAAAAAAGGGGCCAAGTTTTGATCAAGTTTTTTGTTTGTTTGTTTTTGAGCCATACTTGTATGGCTCAATACTTTTCCTGTGTCATACACCATTCAGCATGGTAATGGCAGACTGGAGCCCTAGGTCACTTAAGGGCAGTTTTTCTCCAACCTCCTAAGGTGTTTGTTACATTTTAATCAACAAAGTACACACTCGCACACCTCAATACAAATGAGGCAAATCTAAGAGCAAATGTTCAAATATGTAAATAAACCATGCCAATTCAAGATTTTGAATTTTTTTCCCCCCTTCACTCCATGGACTACCTAATCATTTCATGGGAGGCTCCCTAAATAACCTACAGAGATCAGACACTCCAAATCAAGTTTGCCAGATCCGTGTTTCAACTACCTAATTTTCAACTCAAGATCTTTCCTATCTGGCTCTTGCATTTTTAATGTCGAAGACAGGAGAAGCAACAATTCTAATCCTGTCCTAGCTGATGGTAGGTGTTTGGTCAGTATTTATTAACTGTATAAACAAATGCTCTCTGAAGACCCCATTTACTGGTTATGGTGCAAGATTCTTCCCACAGGTCTGTAAAAAGCAGAGGCCCCAGGAGCTTTGACTGAATCACCGTCATACTTGGCACTTAGAAGGGCCCTTTGGTTTTTTATGAGGTAAAGAGCCCTCAACCATTACTGTTGATGGGAATTCCCCGCCTGTCCAGACTCTTGCAACGTCGGGTCCTGCACAGAACACATAATAAGTGCTCAATAAACACTGACTAAATGTAATTTTATTATCAAAGCTGCTAAATATCCAGACGTCAGCTCTCTTTACTACTGTCCCTCTCTCAAAATATGTCCTCATAGCTTTCTTTGCCCAACAAGAAATATTTCTCAAAGTCAAGGAGGAAAGGAAGAAATCTGCAAAGCAGAAAGAGGCATGCATGAGCCCAAGTGACTCAAATGGGCCTCGGCCTCGTAAGACTCCCAGATACTATTCTCCGTTTACCTCCTGAGAGATCCCTCCCTCTCACCTTTGCACTTTTTCTTTCCGGAAACCCTACCCCCCAACCTTCTGCCACACACTCGGCCCCCAAGTGCATACCCGGTGGGATCCCACATTCCCACCGCTCCCTCTCCAACGGGGACCTACCTCTCCTCCCCTCGACATGCAGCAGCTTTTCTTCACTGCGGTTGGCTTTTAAAGAAACCAAAAAACCTTATTTCTTCATTCGTAAGAGATACCCCAAATAAAGGACCCCACAAAGAGGAAGGCCCCTATCAACCCTCCAGTAAGCGGAGGTGATGGTTATCTTGGCAACCGCCCCCCACAATCCTCCTTTCCAAGCCCCTGGACAGGATTCGAGCAGAAGTCCCGCTCCCAAGTGCCCACGCTTCCAAACAAGCTAGAAGCGGATTATACCGGTACCCAAGCCGGAGATGGCCCGCGGCGGGCTGGGTGCACCTGCGGGCCCCCGGCTCCCTCCGCCCAGCGCTGGGGGCGGGCCGCGGCCCTCGATTCCCCGCCCAGCCCACCCGGCGCGGGAAGGAGGCGACGGGGAAGCGTTTCTGGAGAAGTTAAAGGGCTCACCTTCTGGGCACCCGGCCAGCAGGGCCAGACACCAAACACCCACCTCCAGGAGGAATCAGCGGAGCCCTACCCGGGTGTCCTCGCCCTTGCAGCTAGGCGGAGGGAGGCGAGAGAGGGGAGCGCGCGCGAGGGGGAGCCGGGGAGAGGCAGGCAGGCCGGCCTCTCCTTCCGCAGGGCCCACCGCCCGCGGCCCAGGCGCCCGCCACTCCAGTTGCCCAAAGCCGAACAATCTTCCGGACCGGGGGACAGGGGAGGGAGCCTGGCCTGGCCACGCTCGCCCTCCGCTCCCCCCTTCCCGCTCCCCGTCACTGCGAGTTCGTAGGGGCCGCGGCGCCGAGCTGGCGCGTTCCGGCTCCGGCGCGGCTCCCACCTGCGCAGCGCTCGGCCCCCGCCCCGGGGAGGTGCGCACCAACCTTGTGGGGCAGCCGGGGCAGCTTGGCCGCCGAGCCACGGCTTATGCTGAGACTGGAGGTGGCGGCATCACCTGCGGCGGGCGGCGGCTGCACCCGGACGCGGCGGGGCGGCGAAGGCGCGCAGCGCCCTGGACCCTGCACCCGCGGCCCCGCCCGCGGCGGCCACCTCGAAGCACGGCGGAGGAGCCGAGGCACCACGGGCGGCGGCAGCGGCGGCGACCAGAGCAGCAGCACATGACTCTGTAACGGGGGGAATTAGACAAAGCGTAACATGGACTCCGGGCCCGTGCAGGCGCTGCTGCTCCAGGACCAACCGCAGCTGGCGAGCGCCGCGACTGGCTCCGCCGCAGCCAATGGGGCGGGCCCGGGCCTCCATGTGATTGCGAGCGCTCTCCCCTAGTTGCTCTGCCGCGCCTGCCGAGGGTCGGGGCGCTTCCGCAGCTCGGGGGGCGGGCTGACCGGCGCTGGATGGGTGGCGAGTTAGGTGGCCCAGGGTCGGGGACCGGTGGCGAGAGGCTGCTAGAGGCCGAACAGGTGCATGGGGCGGGAAAGAGCGGCAGCCCGTGATCGCGGTCCCCGAAATACTGTCAAACGCCCACCTGGGCAGGGCGCGGTGCCCCGCCACCCCAGTCGTCAGGCGGGAACGGGAGCCAGGAGAGGTCAGGAGCCATCACCCTTTCTAGGTCTATCCTGTTGACTAAAGCCCTGATATTAAGACTTGGGGAGAAACGCAGTGCAATGGTAAGGGAGGATTTACGTAAAAGTCATTTAAGCGGCTTCCAACCCTTAGAACAAAATACTTCCCTGGGATTTGGGGCACACAGAACTTTATTTTGGCACGAATATTTTCCAAGCCTCGTTTGTTCTGTCACTGCTATTAAAAATATATTGGAGAGTCAGCTCTTCTTTGAATCTGAGTCTGCTCTTTTTTCCTTTTTGCCAAAAATTGTCTTGTATCTGAAGCAGGCAGATGTAAGGTTGGCCTATGCTAAGAGGTGTTTTCCAACCTTATAGTTTCCCGCTTGTTTTCGTTGTAAGATCAAAGTACGCGTATCTGCAGTCTTCGCAGCTAGGGGTCAAGAAATAAAGTCAGAGGGATGTCTGGAATCGTTTGCTTTAAACAAGTTAAATGATTCCAACCTAATACTTCAATAACTCCTTTTATCCAAATCCGCCCATTTCTGTGAACACTGGGAAGTTTCATCTCTCTTCTACCAAGATCTCCAGGTCAGTGCGTGTTCAATGAACATTTACTTTAAAAAAAAATGCTCCTCAGTCCTCAGGAAGGTGTGGGTCCAGATATAATGATGCATTAAAGAGAGTGGTGTCCCAAGGTTTCGGGAAAAGCTTCAGAAAGCAGTGGGTGATAGAACTGACCCTTGGATGTCAAGCCCTTGTGCATCAGGCACAGGAAGTACAGAAGAGCCACCCTGACAGGAAGGAGTATGAACAGAGAGGTCCACCACGTGCTCAAGGGACTGTCCTAGACTAGTTACAAGATGACACTAGATTTTGAGCCCTTCTGACCTCTAGCTTTCTCACTTTCCTTGCCCTGTCCCTCATGCCAGCAGCTTCTTGTATTCCACACCTGCAGCCAAGAAGGAGATGTGTGGGCAGGAGCTGTGTGGCAAGTGATCTAATCACAGTAACCAGATTTGCTGATCTGGGAACTTAGAGCAATTTTAAAACTGCTAACATCTAGTGGTGTGCTATTTTGATTGAAAACACCCCAATATTGTAATGAATTTGGAAGGTTTTGCTGTCTGTAAAACCACTTTGTGCCATGTTTTGATCTTCCCTAAGTTTTAAATTGTGACTCTAGATTTGAGAGAAATGTGTTTTCCATATCGGTATAAATTGAGAAAAGAAAGGAGTAATACTAAGAAAACAATCAAATGTGGAGAAACAAGAATGTGAGTATAAATTGGATAAATCCCTTTGGAGGACAATGTGGCAATTTTTGATAAATATGTGCTCTTTGACCTGGCAGTTCTACGTCTAGGATTTTTTTTTTTTAAGATTTTATTGGGGAATCGGGAAAGGGAAACAGACAAGTTGCTGTCCTTTTGTTCTTCAGTCTAGTTGTGGAGGACGTTTCTTCGCTGGCCCATGTTGGTTTTGTGATCATTGCGCTCTTCCTGTCTGAGGCAGATCGGTCACTGGCCATTGGGCGGCTGCGCACGGCAGCTCATGCCAGCTCACGCCAGCTGCCAGCCGCTCATGCTGTCTGCCAGCCACTGACAGTAGCTTACAACAGCCCAGCTCCAGGTCGAGCTGTTGTTCACCATCTTAGCTGTAGAGGGCGCAGCATCACTGGCCCATGTGGGATTTGAACCCGCGGCCCTGCTGCTCAGAGCGCGTGTTCCCAAACCAACTTTTTATCAGTTAGCCACTCAGCCGGCCCTACATCTGGGATTTTATACTTGGAACATATTTACCTACAAATTTATATATTTCAGAAATACTGACACCTTTGTACAAAAAAATATATGTACAGGTATGTTTATTGCAACATTGTTTGTAATAGTGGAAGCATAATGGTGTAAAAGTCTAATAACAAAATCCCAGTAGGGAAACTAGTTAAGCAAATTCTGCGAGATCTGTTTAAGAAAATCTTAAGAAGCTATTGATAAAAATAAGATAAATCTATTCGTTGCAACATGGAAGAATGTCTAAAATCTCTAAGTGAAAAAGGATGTTGCAGAACAATATGAATAGTGTGATCCCACTTTTATTTGTATTTCTTGTCTTTATATACATATTAAGTGTATGCCTAAGAAAAATCCAGAAGGATACATAACAAGCAGTTAACGGTGGTTATCTCTGGATGTGGGATTATCAGAGGTGTTTTCTTTCTGTTGCAAAGTTCTGTTTGTTTAAATTGTTTTTATGTTGCGTACATACAGGGCCTGATAATTAAGTTTGTGAACAGTTGCAACAATGTTGCTACCCTTTTTTATATCAGAGGGATTATTCATTATGAATTTGTACCAACTGGACACTTAACCAAGTTTACTATTTGAAAGTGCTGAAGAGGCTGCGTGAAAAAGTTTGATGACCTGAACTTTTCACAACAATTCATGACTCTTACATGACTATAATGCACCAGCTCACACAATACTGTCTGTGAGGGAGATTTTAGCCAGTAAACAAATAACTGTATTGGAACACCCTCCCTACTCACCTGATCTGGCCCCCAATGACTTCTTTCTTCACCTGAAGATAAAGGAAATATTGAAAGGAAGACATTTTGATGACATTCAGGACATCAAGGGTAATACGACGACAGCTCTGGTGGCCATTCCAGAAAAAGAGTTCCAAAATTTCTTTGAAGGTTGGAGTAGACACTGGCATCAATGCATAGCTTCCCAAGGGGAGTATTTTGAAAGTGACTGCAGTGATATTCAGCGATGAGGTATGTAGCACTTTTTCTAGGATGAGTTCGTGGACATAATTGTCAGACCTTGTATTACTTTGATAATAAGAAAAGTAGTAAATAGGGCCGGCCGAGTGGCGTGTTGGTTAAGAGCTGGCTTGGGACACCAGAAGGCCCAGGTTCGGATCCCACATATGCGGGCCAGTGACACTGCCCTCTACAGCTAAGATGCTGAACAACCAGCTCAACCTGGAGCTGGGCTGCTGTGAGTCACCCAGCAGCCAGCGTGAGCAGCAGTCCAGAAGCCAGTGACTGATCTGCCTCACCCGGGAAGAGCGCAATGATGGTGCCAACTTGGATAGCAACTTGTCTGTTCCCCTTCCCCCAATTCCCCAATGCTGTTCCCACACCCCAATTCCCCAATAAAAATCTTTAAATAAATAAATAAATACCAGTTTGAACTCATGATGTATTTAAAAAAAAAAAGAAAAGAAAAGTAGTAAACAAAAGGATTTTTAAAGATAAAATTGGTAAGAGCTCTACCAATGACAAATAATGCAAGATCACTTGGATAATCGAGGATGTAAAAAGCTATCAGCTTCCCCTGTTCCCCCAAGGAAAACAAATGAGAAGGAGGCAGCGAAGGACAATAACTGATTTGACATTGTGTTCACAATTAAGAAATTTGATAAAGGAATCTGAGGCTACACTCGGCATGTCCACAGGAATGAGGTGGTGGAAACACAATAAGGCATGAGGGAAGTTCTATTTAACCAAACCTTACAGAGCACTTACTGTCCTTTGCTGAGTTGTTATGCTCAGAAATGGCAACTGTTCCAGCACATGATAAATCTGTATCATACTAATAAGAACAGCTACAGGGCTTATGATGGGCCAGACACTGCCCTAAGTACTTCATGTATATTCACTTTTAGTCTTCATAGCAACTATGAGAGAGGTGCTGTCACTATCCTCATGTTTTAGATAGGAAACAAAGGCCTGGAAAACTTACATAAGTAGCTCAAGATCACACAGCTTTTAAGTGGCAGAGCAAGACTTTTTAAGTCAGACATCCTGGCCCTAGAGGCTCAAACACAATACTGTTTGAAGAGACAAAGTCAGAGAAATGCCATTATATGTGCATATCTTTTTACCAAGTAGTATAATTGTAAGTTGATTTGTGCTTACGAAAACTATAGCATGTGCCGTGCCCTAAGGCACTCAATACTTATTGAATGAATGAATGAATGAATGAATGAATGACTTTCTCATTAGAAAAAAGCCTGAGCTCCTTAGACGAGAGATTTTGCATTCTTCCTTTTTTCATCACCTAGCAGAGTGTCCATGTGATAAGCAATATGAATTTCAATAATCTGTAAAAATGTTGAAAAAATTGTACAGAAATCAAGCTTTATAAATTTATCCCAAGTACACTGGGATAGCTTATGAATGATATAATGAATTTCTTGTAAAGTGAAGAAGAGCACTGAGGGGACAGGGCTAAACTAGATACACCTGCATAACTATATATAAATAAATGTAGAATATATTTGCTTGGAAAGTGACAGTAATGCTGAAGAGCTGCAGAATTTCAAATTATTTAAGTCTCTCTTCCTCTTATCTCTCTTGGTTGATGATAATAATACGTATCTCCAATTACTGTGAAGCCAAGGATTAAATGACATATGGAAAGGACTTAACCAAGTGCCTGAAACATAGGTATTGTTCAATAAATGTTACCTATTATAAGTCTGTCCCCATTTTATAAGTGTGACCAGGTTTCTTAATGTATTGTGACTCTAGAAATATTACAGCTAACATAATATGCAACAGATAGGAGCTCATATACATATAATGCTTTGAAATTATATAATAAGGGCTCAGCCTAAGCAAATGGTAAGAGTAATCTTTTGCTTACTCTTGCTTTCCAAGACACTGCACTTACTCCCTTCAAGGAGCTCATCCAGTCATATAGCTTTGGTCCCCTCTCTATGCCAACAACCCTGCATTTATATCTCTGCATAGTTCTCTCTCCTGAGCTCCAATTTGTGTTTCTAACTGTTTACGTGGTTTTTCCACCCAGACATCTAATAGCTTTCTCAAACCAAACAGGTTCAAAATCAAACCCCTGATTTCTTCTGCTCTACCTCCCACTTTCTTCTTCTTTCTGTTTCTTTAGATGAGTTCAAACCATTTCACTTAATTAAACGCTCAGCCTTGGAGGTAGGAAGCAATTCTCTCCCTTCTTCTCAGCTGAGGAAATTGAAATACAGGAAACTAGACTAGAAATGCACAGGCTGAGGGAGGAGATCAATGGAGGAAATGGACCTGGGTGGAGTGTGTAGGGTAATTCTCCATGAGTACTGAGGTAATGGAAGGTCCAAAGAGGAAGGGAAGTTGCCAGGCTGCTCTAGTTGGAATTAATATGATGAAATTGAAACTATAAAAACCAAGGGTACATGTCTTAATCAACCACAATTGAGAAGAAAGATGTTGACCTTTACTTTCTAAAATG